ACAGACAGGGACAGAGAGAGAGACCGTCCCCGTAAACACTGAGACCACCTGCAGTTAACTGATGTTTATATTAATGGACTCTTCATAAGCCCCGCCCCTCTTTGCTCTGCGCTCCAATCACATATTTAAGTACAGAAAGGGGGAAGTTGACGGAGGATTGCTCAACCGTGATTGGAGCACAGAGCAAAAAGGGGGCGGGGCTTGTGAAGGGGTCGGGCCAGCGCCGTCTACAGGCTGCAGCGTTCATTACACAGCACTGTGTTCACGAGGCTTCTGTCCTCGCAGCCAGAAACGTTCATGTTTGTATTGTTTGAATTAGTTTTGTAATAAAACACACAGATGTCTTCAGCTGTGGCACGAGTGATTTTTATATGAATTAATTCAGTGACAGAAATGTTTTAAACAGCTGATCAATTCCAAATAAATGCTGTACAATTCCTCACCTTCAGGCAGCCATTGGTTTCAGTTCATTTCCAGATGGTGAAACAATCTATTAGGAGCGTGAGAGAGTGAATATTGACAGTAGTTTTGTTTCCGGTTGTTGGAAAGTGAGAAAGATCCAATGGACTCACACAGAGAAACAAACTGCACCCATTTATTATGGAAACGTCACAGAACCGAGCAGAACACAGAACAAAGAAAAGGTCCGATCGAAACATCCTCCGATCGCAGTTCCATGATGTAAACTGTCAGTTTAACTGTCAAAAAGCCAAATGCGTTTCAGAACAGTAAATATTTTACAGGTTCCTTTCTTTCAGTTTGGTGGGCTGCTCTAAATACTACACTTCCCATGAGCCTCTGCTGCTGTTGCTATGGATTTACTGCTGAATATTTGATCAGATTTGTAGCAGCACATTTAACAGAATGTGAAGCTCTGATTGGATGTTTTGTTAGTGAGATGCACCCTGGGAGTCGTAGTTGTCCTTCAGCTTTCACGTTCACAGGCTTCTTGTACATTTTTCATCAAAGCAGATATTTTCTAACACAGTTGCTCATTTTTGTACTGACAGAATTCATCCAGGACCTCTTATGAATAAAAAAAAAGTGAACAGTAGTTTGTTTCCTTTCTCTCAGTACACATGTTGAGGTGTGACAGTTCAGCAAACTACAGCAGCAGAACCGGAGAATTAACAACAAATGTCAGAAACAGCTTAAAAAAAAAAATTACCTTCAAAATCTCTGTACAGCCGAACAAACGCCAACACAAATAAAAGTCAAAATTAGCACGAGGAATAAACGCAGCAGTCTGTAGTTTTTAGAAAATATATAGTCATTATAACTTCATTTACAATATTTTCAAACATTTCATAGAAAGTCGGCGGGTTGTAAAGTGGAAGTGATTATCAGAGAGCGGCGTTTCCTCTGTGTTATTAATATACTTTATACTTTAACATCCAAAAACAACCGGATTAAACACCCTGCACGTGAAAATAAAGCGTTTAGGATGATTATGGATCTTATTTTAATTAATGCTGCCTCATAAATGCAGCTTTAAAGTTTTCTGATGCAGCACAAAATTCATTATTTGACCACTGACAACAGTAATATTAACTAATATTATTAATAAAGACACCAATGAATCACATTTTTAATTTTTGTCCCAGTAAACTTGTAAAAGTTGTTTTCATTAAGTTGTCTGTAGCTTGTTGGCTAACTAAATAACATTTTGGCTACGATACATTAACTTGCTAAAAAACTAAAGTTATCTGGCAAGTATCTTAATCAATTGTCTGAAAAATCTAAGAAAACGTTTGCAAAATAAATTATTTAACCGTTCCACATGAGCAGTTAGCTCGTTAGCAAACGTTTAAATAAAGTTCATAAATGAATTTAATCGACTTTCAACCAAGAAGCCTTTAGTTTTGTTGTATTGTTGGTTAAATGGATCTAATTTATTAACATTTACAGGTGGAGGCGGTTTTATTCTCCATAAACAAACACGGAGGAAACGCCGCGGAGGTCTGAGGGGTTCACGGTTCAGTTACAGACGTGTCTGAGGTCAGAGGTATCTAGTGAAGTTGGTTTCTTCCTGGTCAGTTGCTACAAAGGTTTAGAGACAAGGAATGTTGGGAAATCTTTTCTTTTTTTTTTTTTACCCACAATGCCACATGAGCTTTCAAAAGATAACGTCCGTCCATAATGTCACTGAAAGCAGTTCTTTTTAAATACATTTTTCTTACATCAGTTCTGTAAAACAGTCCCTGGGCAGGTTTTCATCGACGTCAGGTGAAGCACATCAGCACCAACGGGAAGAAGAGGTTGGCGGTAGAAAAGTAAGGCGCTGGCGGCTAAACAGACTGCAGGAAGAGGGATGGGAGGATTATTCCTCCATTTCACTGCTTTTATCTGAGATTAAAGAAAGTCTGAGGATTAACTGGATTCCACCGCTCAGCCAGTTCCCGCAGAGGTCGAACGCCGACCTCCGAAGCGCGAGAGACGAGCCCGCAGTGGACCGAAGTGCACAGTCGCAGTCGGCCTTATTAGACCGCTGCTGGGATTTGAACCGGCAACCTTCCACTCAGCCCCACTGCTGAGTCGTGTTCACATTATTCTGCTTCACTTTAACTGCCAGCAGCGTTTAAAGCAGCGCGGTAGAGGTCTTCGGAGTCCGATCACAGCTTTATTCTGTATTTATCTTTATTTTCTACTCTTCTCTGCAGATCACAGAAGGAAAAATACGTTGGGAAGGATGTGTGTTGTGGTGGAAAGGTGATTCAATATAGTCGACTCACCAGCAACCCAAAGTTTTATGTTAGAACTGTACAGTATGGGTTAGCCTGAAAGCTAATGTCT